TTACCCCTAGTCCCAATTTCACCCTAAACCTTAAACAAAAAATCTCCTTTCCCCTGCCCAACCGTCGCCGAGGTCCTCCGTTCTCTGACCAGCCGTTGCAGGATTCTTATCTCTGGTTCGTCTTGGAGGAAGACCACCAGGACCAAGTGTGCGATGCTAAAGTCGTTTGGAGCCTGCAACTAGACTTCTTCAAGACGCCTTCGGGGCGGGATTAGACTCACGTGATCTTGACGGAGAACAATGGTATTACGTCCAAGGAAAGGTACGCGAATGCCATGGGCTTCTCCAAGGAAGGAACCGTTGCTGGTTGTTCCCAGCTGTTTAGCCTTGACCAGGACAACGATGATTAGAGATTGAGGCTGATGGTGTTTAGAGGGAAATGACAAGGCAGCTTGCCTCCATTGAGTTTATTATATTATATTAGTTGGGGAGATCTGGATGCAGAATGGAGCCAAGTTCGGTGAGGAAATTCTCGTCGCCGGAGCTCGAAATCATGGCGCCGGCTGAACTGGGAAATTAGGGGCGATATGAGTTTGTTTTGAATTTTGAGTTTAAGTGATTGAAAGATTAGGGGTGGAAAATGAGAAACGGGTATTTGGGAACACCCAAACCCGTCCCGTATTTCGAGGGTTATGGGTACCCGTAATACCCGTATTATTTACTACGGGATGGGACTTGGGATGAACAATTTCTAGATCGGGTACCCGTGGATTACCCGCAAATCCCATTTGGATATTTTGGGTACCCGTAATACCCATTAAATCTGTCATTTGTTTGAATTGGATTACCTCCGTTTGCAGCTAGTAGAGGTGGATCTTCCACAAGTTAGTACTACAAGGTAGTGAAGTAGCTAGCAGAGAAGGCACGACCTTCCCAAGGTAAATTTTGTCCCTCCCATATAGACATTCATGTGTAGGTTGTTGGACACTAACGTAAATGTAGTGAATTTAGGATCAATATTACAGAGGATTTGTACTTTTATTTCACTCACTCTCTAACACTCTCACACGGCAATTAATATTGCCTTTTCTCTCTTACAGTAGAAAACAAAAATGGTTGTCTTTTTCTATTGCTAGCTCTCTGCCTATCTATTTTACACAAGCCATACACAAGCTCTGTTACATATCACAAACCATACACAAGCCTTCTATTTTATAATGGCTACTAACCACCATTGTGCAGGGGGTTATTTATTATTAGTACATCTCTCAGTACACATCTCATTATCATTGTATTTGTACCATATGCAGGGTTGTGTGCCATATGATTGTGAATCATAATAACGGCTTGCAACATGCTTCTTCTACCGAGTGTGATCTACTGATTTTTGTGTTTCCAGATTATCGAAGCAACTGAATATAGAATATTGTAGCAATAGGCGAAATTGTAGAAGCTTGTAACTGAACATAGTAGCTCAAGCTTAGTACTGAAGTTGGAATGACTTATTCATATTTTGTGTCACATACTGTTCGTAGTGTGTGTGCGTTGAATTGCTTGCATGCTCACTCTCTCTTTTGGATTGAGTTGTAAATTGAAGGGGCATGGGAGAATTTGTTGAATCGCTGTTGCTCTCCTTAGCTTTGCTGGAGTAAGGCTGCTTTTGTTCCAGTTGTTCAGGGAATCTGCTTTGCTATAAGATAGGCAGTTGTTCCATTTATGCTTAGCTTTTGGACTGATCCCTTAATTTACAATTCATCTGTTTGAATTGATGGTTATTTGCCGACCAAGACAAATTATAAATTTATAGTGACAAGCTATGTTTCGACAATTTATGGGTAGATTGGGACATTCGAGTACTCGTTATCCGTCCCGTATGGGTAATGGGTACCCGTTACCCATACAGGTTTGGGATATGGGATGGATTATCCCCTTCAAATTGAAATGGGTACCCGTTTTAAATGGGATGGGTACCCGTTCCCGTCCCGTTTTCTACCCCTATGAAAGATAGATAACTGAATTAAGAGTATTAGAATAAATTTATCGTAGTTAGGGCGACGAATAGCAATGCCCAATTTAAAAGCTTCAATATATCACTCAAAAATTAAATAGATTGTGATATTTTAATTAGTTGTATATTAGGAGGAAAAATGGATTTTTTCAGAAATAGCATCATTAAAAAAATTACAAAAATAGCACCTAGCCTACAGAAATTCCAAAAATAGCACATTTATTTTAAAACCGCACCTTACATGTGAACCGCACGTCCAAGATGTGGTTTACAGGTGAAACGCATCCTGAGAGAGCGGTTTGAGGTTCTAGGCCAAAAACGCATCTTGGCCATGCGGTTCTTTGATTGACCTAGCAAAACCGCACGTTGAGGATGCGGTTTAGTTTCTCCAACACAAACCGCACCCTCAACATGCGGGTTTGCCCTTGCCGACACACAAACCGCAACCCCCCAGGCGGTTTGTGTGTCGTCCCTATTTTCCCGACATCCACCATGTTGCCATGTAGGTTGACAGACGTGGGGCTGCATGGCAGATGAAAACCGCACCCTCCCCATGCGGTTTTCAGTGAATATTTTGCCTATAAAAGGCAGCCCCGGGAAACCTCTTCTCTTCACACCTCTCCTTCTCCCTTTTCAATTTTCTGTTGTAGCTCTCTACTTCTTTATTGTTTTTGTGATTAACGTTAACTAGTAAGTTTATTTTGTATTACTTTTTGTTGTGATTTGTGATTTTTATGATATTAACTGAACTATGATTTTTTTGCAGATGGTATTCCAAAAGTTCACACTTGGGTTACGGTGGAATGGTTACACGGAAGAGACCGGAAAGGGGGTCACCTACGTCGGTGGCAATTTTCAGAAAATAAAGGTCGCTACCAGACCGTTGCTTGAAGACCTCCATCAAATATGTACTAACGTTACTTGCATGGATGACACGAGAAGAGTTGATCGTATGTTGTACCGATATCCAAACAGAGAAGGCAGGTCATTGTGGCATGAGGAATATCTCATAACCACTCAGGATGAAGTAGATGCCATGCTCGAATTCTTGAGGTCCAATAATCTTTCCAAAGCCGAGATGTTCGTTTACACTGAGGTGGTCGTAGGTGTTGGAGGTCATTCTGGAGACCGTCAAACATCTGGTATCCATGGTGGAGGTGAATTATATGGAGATCATCCCTAACAAAGTTACCATGATCCTCATTCCTACTTTCAGTACCAAGAGCAAGGTGAAGGTCGTCATCAATCTTTCCCATCATATGAAGAAGAAGTTCAATCGGACCATGCCAACCAACCCGAGTACAACTTCCAATCAGGCAGCGGTAGTTTTCACAACTGCCATTATGGAGCTGATGAAGGTGCCTTTCATGATCTGGATCAGATGGAAGATGCCCTGCCAACACCAGTTAGCGACCCCTCCGATGAAGAAGGAGAGAACAACGTCAGTGCAGACAACTCCGACCCTCTTGAAGGTGCTGATGATTCAGGACCAGAGTGAGACTTAGATGATGATGAGGTGGCTCGTGACCGTATACCAGTCCCCTACTACAATCACTCGGCATTTGAATGACACACAACTCATTCCAACACGAAGAGGCTCATAGTCAGATGTCGTAGTCAACACGAGGGATGCAATGCTAGGATTCGGGCCATCAACAGCAAGAGACACGACCATTGGGTCATATCCCGTTCGGTGAACACACACATGTGTGTCATCCATAACATCCCAAGGAGGTGCGGTTTTAAAATAATGGTGCTATTTTTGTAATTTATGTGGATTGGGTGTTATTTTTGTAATTTTGTTTTAAAGGGTGCTATTCAGTGTTATTAAAGCCGAGTCGAGCCGCTCGGCCCGATCGGTAAAACCGCCACCCGCTCACAAAACCGGCTCGGAACAATTTAAAAGCCGCTCCGGTTTTATGTAGCGGTTGGCGAGCGGCCGAGGCGGTTAACCGTCCGAGCCGATCGAGCCGCTCGTCCGGTTTTTGCCATTCAGCCACTAAATTTAATTAAAAAATTGCAGAAAATTGAAAATTGAAATAAACAAAAAACGTCGGGCTCTCAAACTGAATCCTTATTTCCATTTCAAAATTTTGAAGGAAAGAGATGAGCTCTGATTAAGAAATGTCAACTATTTATACTGATAACGTTTATTAGGTACCGGTTCTCTAACGGTTTTTAAACGGTCTAATGTCGGTTGGACCACTAAAGTGCGAGTCTTTAGCATTACCGGGTCATGCACCCATCAATAACCAAATCTGGACCCTTCATTTAGAAAATTCAGATCTAAGGATGGAGAATTAAAGGTCATTTTTATTTTCACTAGCTTTCTTAATTGACTCATATCTTTTTCGTTTTAACTCGGATTTTAATTTTTTTTTGCACAGATGGAACGAGTTCATCGTGCTCTACAAAATGAGATCAATTTTCAATATTTTTTTAGTAAAAAAAATTCTGGCCTCTCGGTACCAACTGCATACCATATGGTATCTTCTTCGTTTTTAATTCGTTTTTAAAAACGTTTGCACAGCAGAGACGAGTTCATCATGATCTATTGGATCTACAAATTTCTGGGTGAACAAATTACAAGACAAAAAAATACCACACAATACCATACAATACCACCCTAGTACGGGGTGGTATCTTATGGTATCTTATGGTATACAATGTTAAAAGTCGTATTCAACCATCCTACAGTTTTGGTTTGTGTCATACCACCATGGTACGCTTTTCAAACCATAGGTATGCTCTTATTTCAATACCAGTCAATACCATATGGTATAGACTGGTATAAAATGGCTCAATTTTTTTTGTTCGAAAAATATATCAAAGTGAATATCATTTTGAAGAGCACAATTAATCTGATCTAACTGTGCAAAAAAATTAAATTTCGACTTAAAACGAGTGAGAAATCGTCCGTTAAAGATTAAGGAGGGAAAAATTAAAGGCTTTCCAGGAGAGAGAGGATGTTGATGTCATGCTGATGTGGACGAGTTACTCATAGTTACTCACCATAAGGTTACTGACCTGATCCGTTCCCAAGTCCGAGTCGGAAACAATCTGGCCGGCGGGGAGATCTGTTTCTTCTTCTGCACAACATCAACTCATCAAGCCATCTCATCAACGGCCCATAAATCACCTGTCGCTGATTGAACAAAATAGCATCATAAAAGAAAAATCAAGAAATCAACGGAGGGCGCACGACCGGGTTTTAAAAAGTGATGCTTGAGGTTTAAGCCAAGAAATAGGCGGAACGGAGTCAATCGGAAGAGTTCCTTCCTGAGTGGCAAAATCGAAGGTTTCCGCCGCTCCTGAAACCCAACGCAACGGAAATTGATATGCGAAAATGCAGAGGCTAAGGAGCAGAGCGCTGTTTGGTTCGATGCAGCTGCCCCATTTGAAGAAGAAAGCCCTCAATTCATTCGCCGCCGTTCAGGACACTTACCTCTCTACCAAGGTAGAAAAAGAAGAAAGCTTCCATCTTTCGCTGTTCTACGGTTCTTCGGTCATCGTCGCCTGTTAATTTCTTGTGGGATACGCCAATTTCATTTTGTGGGTTTTCTCGAGGGTTTAATTTTTGGGTGTTATCATTGCGTTAGGACACATTTGAGAGGCATAGGGTTGTCTTTACAATCGGGACATCTGCGGCCTCAGTTGCCACAGCATGGATTGGTAAGTTTTTTTCAATCTGGTCTTTCTAGCTCCCAGCGGAGTCAGTTGCAGTGTGTAGTAATTACTTTGAATATTGCAAATAAGGATTTTGTTATGGTCAATTTGCTACGCAGGATATACACTCCGTCACCTCCATGAATCCAAAGTTGAGCAAAGGCTTGAATCAATTGAGAAAGCTGTGAGTTTTGGTACCCGCTAACAGTTTTAAGACATAGGGTGCTTCCTTTGTTTGCCCTTCATAGGTTATAATAACCTGATATAATGCATTCCTGGTGTGCTGTAGATGCAAAACAACCAGGCTCTTGAACATGCTGAGCTTAAGAAGCTTGTCGATCCAGGAAGTTCTCGTTATGCTACGTATATTGCCACAATTGGGACTACTTTTGTTTTAGGGTTTGTACCTAAGACTTCATTACTACCTCTGTGATAACTTTTGTTTTCTGATAACTCAAAAGACCTCATCATGCTTGTTGAAAACGGCAAGGACTATGATTGCACTACTTTCTTATCTTGGAACAAATGGAAAATGGTCAAAATGGTGTAGAGACTATGTACTGTAGAAAAAGTTTATTTTGGTGCTGAATAAAGGTCTAAACTCCAGGAGCAATTCAATCTTCGTAGAAGAATATGACTGTTTGATAGTATTCCCCGAATTTTCATATGCCTTTAGCAGGAGGAAGATGGTGTTATAGTTGTGTAACTGATGCTTTGGAGTGGTGGCTCCAGTATTGTTTTTTTCTCTGTTGCTGTCTGAGTCTCATTTTTACTGCATAATTGCTGAAACTGGTAGGTACGGGTTTGGTTGGAGAGGTGGAAGATGGTATGCAAATAGGAAGTTCAGGCAGGAGCAGATGAAGTTGATGGGCCAGATAACTCCTCGGAAATGGGAGTTAATGGGGAAGATCAAATCGAGAGGATTGGGATTGCAAGCCTTGAGAAGAGGACTATCGAGATCCAGAAGTTCAGACATGGCAACTAAATCACATGACAAAAGGCCCTGAAGGATGTACCATCGGTGTCACAGGGTTCTTGTAAACCCCATCGATCTTGCTAGTTTGTAAGAAACAGCTACTCTGTCGCTCCATTGTCCAGTAGTAGGATGAAAATTGCAGGCATTGTGTAGATCATCTGCTGTACTGCCCAAGTTTTCCAAAGCAATATATAGCTTAGCCATTGTTTCCCCATGCTCCTTCTATTTCTACTATTGGCTAAAACTCTTTTATGGAATATATGTTTTCTGAATGTTATTAAGAACCCTTATGTGAAGAACAAAGTGTTGAGCGAAGCATCCTTAGAATCTACCAGGAATACATGATGAAACTTGTTTTTGTTGTCTCGTAGACAATATTGCAGCAACTTGACCATGAACAAGGCACGTGCTTTTTAAACATGTTTCATGCTTAATGTTGGAGGGGAATGCATTAGTCTCATAGAAAACAACAGCTTGAAGAGGAAAGGTGAACGGGTTGAAAAGACATGATTTCTACTTCCATTTGGCCTCCAGCTTATGGTGGTTTCAATGGTTCCCCCGAACTATTTGACAAGAGCAATCGGTGAAACTGAGAAGGCATCTCATTGGAATTTGGAGAGGTATGGTCTTCTTTGTTCATATGATGCGAGACAAAATAGAACACAATTAGAATTTAGAACGTAGAGCTTTGGCTGTATGCATGTTTTCCACCGCCTGAAAAGCATAATTTGTCCGTGACTTTCCCCAGACAACCACTTGACGATAGTGCATCCCATTTACAAGTAATTGAGGAATGTTTGGTGGCTAAGAAGATGTTATTTGGAATAATGGGGAGTTGTAGTTTTGTAAATGGAATTCTCCTTTTTGTTCGTATATGGAAATCGTGTGGTATAAAGTGTGCACAAATACTAGAACTGTGATAAGTCTAGAAACTCACACCAGCTAAGGAGCTAAGATGGCTAGTAATCTCCAGATAGTTGTATCATTTCTTGTTTGTGGGATGGCTATGGTTGATGCTATATCCCATTCGGATTCCATTAGAAGTGGGAATTTCTCGGCAGTTGCAGCTGGTCATGGAGTTTGCAGATCAGTGGTTGAGCCACAAGGATATAGCTGTTCAGAACACAAGGTAAATATTTTCACAAGAAATAAGAAATATGTATGGGTTCAATGGGATGAATCTTGAAAAGTCTCTTTTGGGTGGTATCTTTTCAGGTGACTACAAAAGATGGTTACATCCTTAGCATGCAGAGACTTGCTAGCATGTCTGGTAGCCGTTCCAGAAAGCCTGTTCTTCTACAACATGGACTGTTCATGGTTAGCAAAAATTTATGTTTCTTAGTTACTTTAAGTTTTGTTTTCTATTTACGACGTTATGGAACATGAAGCATTGTTTTTCCATTTTTGGTATGATATTGGTGGCAGGATGGAATGACATGGTTTCTACTACCTCCAGGCCAGAATCTGGCATTCCTCTTGGCAGATAACGGCTATGATGTCTGGATCATCCATGGCCGTGGGTCCAAGTACAGCCGAGGCCATGTATCTTATGATTTAGATGACAGAGTTAGTTTGCTTTCTTTGATCACAACCCATTAATGATGTAGAAACCCGTCAACTCACAACCCATTACATTTGGTTAGAGTGAGTTTCGGTTGATATTTGCCGATGTTTTGATGTTCACAGGCTTATTGGGATTGGTCATGGGATGAATTGGCAGCACTGGATCTTCCTGCCACGGTTGATTATATCTATAACCAGACAAAACAGAAGATGCACTTTGTTGGCCACTCCCAGGTGAATATTCTGAAGATTCCCAAGTTGCTATTTTAAGGCCTCTGATACCAAATCCATGATGCAAATACTTGAAGCAAACGACCCCTTAAAGGAGATTCTGATGTCTGGCTTTTGTATGCACAGGGAAATTTGATAGCTCTTGCAGCTGTTTCAAAAGGCTATCTTGTCAACAAGTTGACTTCAGTTACTTTGCTTTGTCCCATTGCTTACATGCATCACATGTCATCACTCCTCATGAGAGGATCTATCGATCTCTTCTTTGCCGAGGTGAATTCCTCTTGTCGTCGTTGCTCTTTCTTCTTTTCTCTTCTGTTCCGGAGCTAAAAGAGCAATTCTTTCGCTAACAATGTTGAGAGATTGTTTGCTTTTTTTGTCTACTATGCAACAGGGATTTTATTGGCTGAAAATTAAGGAATTTGATCCAAATGGGTAAAAAGAATGTGACATTTCTCTTTTTCCCTCTTAGTTGTTTCAAATACAATCTTAAAACTTGTTTTCCCTGATAGAATCTTGGCTATGACTTATGACACTAGGGGTCCTGCTCAGAAGTTTCTTGAGAAAATGTGCAAGCTGCCATTTGCCGGTTGCAACAGCTTGATGACTGCATTGTCAGGTTGATTCATTAGTCCAAACTTCTTGTTTCGTTTTCTTAGGATGCAAGGATTGTATGTTTGTCTGAGTTCTGGTTGCCATGTTCTTACCAGGGAAGAACTGTTGTCTGAAACCTTCTGCAATGGATTCTTTCCTGGAAAATGAGCCTCAACCAACATCTACAAAGAACTTGCTTCATCTTTCTCAGAGTAAGTGGCTCTAGCTAATCAGGTTATGCATCTGCAAAATCTGACCCGAGACGGTCAACATCCTGATACATTGCTGACAAAGCCATGGTTTCCTGTATTCTGATTACTGATTCTTTTGCTGCGCTTTATCTTTTTGCCAGTGGTGAGACGAGGGACAATAGCTATGTATGATTACGACAATGAGGATAAAAATGTGAAGCGTTATGGGCAGCCTACTCCTCCAGTGTATGACATGACCCAAATTCCAAAGGACTTGCCTCTATATCTCACTTATGGAAGCACAGATGCCATTACTTCTGCTAAAGACGTGCAGATCTTGCTGAGAAGCTTGAAGGATCACATGGGAGGCAAACTTGTGTCACAGTTCGTAGACAACTATGCTCATGCAGACTATGTCATGGCTGATAATGCTAGGGAAAAGGTTTATGAACCTCTGCTGGGTTTTCTTAAAATGTATAATTGAAAGGTGAAGAACTTAGGTCCATTTGTTAAGTCTTTGGATTGCTTATTTATCTTGTGTGGTCATTACACTTCTGTTGTATTTCATTAATTGTAACACCAATATAATAAAAGGAAACTTTACTTATCTATTGTCAATCCGGTTAAGCCCATTTATCAGTCTGAGTAAGTGTATGGAAGGTTAATGTTGCGATCGATTTAGTTTCGTTTAGCCCATATATATGTAAAAACTAAAAGTCATTATATTGTTAATATATTTTCATTTGTTCCAAAAACTCCCATCCCTTTCAGAACAATTCTCCATCACCATTCAATTGTTGACCAATTATGCACTACCTGGAGGCGATCAACAAATTCACATATATTGACCGATCACGTGTATTTCGACCATGTATATTCTGACGATTTGTTTTTCATTTTCGAATTCCCATTGATTGACAATTTGTTTTTATTTTTCCACTTTTCAACTCTAGGATGGCTAATCATGCATATTTCGATTATGTATATTCCGACGATACATTTTTCATTTTTGAAATGGTAAATAAAAGTCTTGATTTAGGGTTTCATTAATTGTTTTTAATTCTTTCAAACTTTATACCCAAAAACTCTCATCCTTTTCATTTGTTGCCCAATTCTCCATCACCATTCAATTATTGACCAATTATCTACTACGTGGAGAAGATCAACGAATTCCAAGACATTGACCTATTACACGCATTTTGATCACGTATTAACGATTTTTTTTCATTTTCGAATTCATATTGATTGAAAAATTATTATTATTACTATTATTTTTCTAGTTTTCAACTCGAGGGTTGCTAATCACGCGCATTTCGATCATGTGTATTCCTGCGATGCATTTTCATTTAAATTTTCATTAAATGTTTTTTTTATTTCCTTAAAACTTTAAGGATAATTTCATTTAGTTAACAATCTTTGTTAGTTCGTCGGCTATTCATTGGCAGCATGCGAGGTGGAGCATGGTTTCGGTTGAGCCGTCTTGGAGGAAGTTCGTTAGCTATCTATATCTTTTGTCTCCTTTTGTTGTACTTATACTCCATGTTGGTTTAATATGGCAGTCCATTTAGTGGCACATCGTCATTTCATCGGTAGTTCGACTATTTGGCGACTGTTGCGTCTAATTACCTTATACCATTCTTACGCTATCTTTGGGCAAAGAAAACAAAATCTTTGTTAGTTTTGTGGCTATTCAATTTGAGACCGGTTGATCAAGCTTATTCTATTAATGCCGTTTTCATTTTCAAATCCTTATCGGTTGATAATTTTTGTGAGTTTTTCAACTATTTAAATAAATTTGTTAATTTTACATAGACTCTTATTTTAGAATTTTAGGCCTCATTGGCCATCGAGGTCATTTGCTCTCTCAGTCTCAACTTGATCTTACATGTCACTAACACAATTTTAGGTTATATTGTTTCATTTATCAATTGAAACACTGTATCATGCGGATTTCTGTTTCTTGTTTAGCATATTACATCATATTTACTATAAACACAAATATTAATATAATAAGAATTGAACACCCCGTGCGGAACACAAAATTTTGAGCTAGTAATATATAACATTACACAAAAATAATTGTTCGTACTTGTATCCAACACATGGTTCAAAAAGATGTGCTTAACCCTATCGAAACACCCTGATTCTTTTTACCAAACTGAAATACTCATGGCTCCGGAGCCGATTAAAACAATACTCAAAAGTTTCGATAAAAACAAATACAACTGAATTATTTCCAAAAGAAAATCAAATAAATTGCCCTAACACTTGGGCGACCTTAATCCATAGTCATTAAAACAACTTAAACTCTAAACCTCTAGTTTATACTCATAATCATAAACATAAATAACTAAACAAACTCTAACTCTAACTCCTCGTTGAGCTCCCTGAGACCTTGTCAACGCTGGTGCGGCTGCTCGCCTCGCTCTGTCTCTTCTCGAAATCCACATTCGCT